CATGCAATGTCACTTTTTAACAATGACAACCTTAACATGAAAATATGCAATCCATTACCAATTAGTCACACTTAAACACACATTTTCAGAGTTTATACTGACTTCTTGATTAGAAAACAGCAGTTTGATCCACAACTTGATCCATACATTGGTATAAAAAATATCAGATCACAGATGTTTTTCATTTCCCTATTCCCCACCTTTTAGGAGATAATTCTGAACTCCATTGTTAGATGATAATAACGGTTTACATGTAAATAGTCAATGCAGTTACAAAGCACTTTACCTCAACTGCTTCTCACAATAATCAAATGAGGTAGGTTCATACTGTAAAATTTGGAACTTGAAGAGACCTTATAAATTTCCTTCTAATTTTACGAAAGAGGAAACTGAGGCCTAGAGAGGTTAAATAAATTTCTCAGAATTCAATGTTCTATCAACTATATTACATTTAAAAATTATTATTACCCTATTTTACAGGTGGGAAAAATGAGTCTCAGGTGAAGTAACTTATCTAATGTGGCAAAGTTGGCAGGTTGAAAAGACAGAATTCAAATCCAGTCGTTCTGGCTACAAATCTAGTACTCTTCCCATGCTACCTATCAAAAAATTGTCATAGCTTCAGGCCTCAATGGCACCTGAACTCACAGCCCCTTGTTTATAAAGTCATTAGCTTTAACCCCTGAGCTACCAATTAAAGATATGCAACTTCAATTATTTTGCTTAATTTCATCTCTAGATGAATGAGTCTGAGTATTCTCCATTGTGGGTGGTCTTTTCTATTCTTTTCTCTTATGACTAGGATTATTATTTGCTGATTTCTGCTATGTGAGTTTCTCAAAAAAGCTTAACATTTAGAAGGTCATTTTACATGTTCCTTTTTTTTGTTTGGTTTTTAAGAGGGGAGTCTAAAAATGCCTGTTACCAATTCAATATTTTATTTTCAGCATATACTGTCTACCACTTTTCAAAAATGTGTATCCCTCCCAAGTAATCTTTAGAATAGTCACTTTCATTTTCTAAGCAATGTCCATGTCAGGAATGACAGCTTGTGTAACTTCACATCTGTCTTTTCCGTGTTGGGAACCAAGGGAAGGTGGATTGTGTGGGGAGCAAGGAGAAGAGGATATAAAAATTATGAAAAAAGAGTTCTAAATCAGATAAAATCTTGAGGAAAGGTTGGAGAGGATAAGAAAGGTCTGGGCCACAAAGAGGTTGTCTTTGTGAAGATAGATCTGGCATCAGAAATTAAAGGAGTCAAGAAGAAAAAGGCAGGGAAGGGGGTGTAGAAACAGTAGGAATATACAGATTGTAAAGCTCAGATATGAATAAGGAAGGGGATAAAGTAAATCAGGATCTGATTTATTTACTTTTTAATTTTAAAAGAATACAGAAACTTCTTAGAATGTTTGCTTATAACTGTGCATATCACTCCTATTGAACACTACCCAGCACTTCCACTGTGTCCTCTGGAGCTCCCATTGTATTAGATCTGTGTGTGCCCTCCCTTGAGAAATTAACTTTTATATTTAATTGTCTCTGTACCTGTTTTCTCTAATAGACTTTTAGAAAGATCTGTGGCATTTTTGTTTTTGCAAGCCCAGTAGCTAACATATGATAGGTACTTAATAAATGCTTGTTCAAGTGAATTGAATGAGAGGAGAGATAGTTTTAAGATGACAAGAGTGCACTAGGTAGAACTTTTTGAGATGGAGACAGATCTACTTACGTATATTTAAATGTAGCAAAAATAGTTTATGGAGAGAAAACTTTATTAATGATGCTAAAAGAGCAAAGATGGCTATAGGGTTAGGGCTAATAGAGCTAAAAGGGATTTGGGGGAAGGGGTGATGTGGAAGACAGAGAAGCTGATATTTCAAGAAGGACCAGCCTTTGATCTGACATGGCAACCTCTAATGGTCACCTTTTCCATGTCCAACCCAAGGAACTTATTACTATTCCATCCTCACTGGCACTTTCACCAGTGACCATATCAACTCTCAACCTTATATAATTTAACATTATGATTATTTTTCTTCTGCATGTGAATTCTCAAACATCTTAGGAAGATATGCAGTAGATGTTTAATAAATGTTTATTAATTGATTAATTGAAAACACAGAAACTAGGCCTTTCCACCTCTAAAATTAATGTTACTGCTACATGATCTGCAGTTAGTCTTTTCTCTACATACAGCTTTTTCCATATTGCTACCTTATTGTATTACTGCTTTCTGTATCCTAGATGACTAGGCACTAGACATAATGTTTCAGGTTGGGCTTTGCAATGTTCTTATGATAAAACTCAACTAAACAAATAAACTGGTTGTGGAATGAGGAACAAGAAGACTTAGTCAAATGAAGAGAAGAATTGAAATTTGTAAGTTTAATGAAGGTAATGCTTTCTAGATTTTTAGCAAATCCTAGGATCTAGAACAAGAAGGGTTATTTGAAATCACTTCATCCAACCTCCAAATTATGAAGATGAATGAACTGCAGCCCAGAAAAATTAAGTGACTTGTAGGATCACAAATTTAGAATGGAAAGGGACCTGAGAGGTCATTTACCTAAATCCCTTCATTTAAGAGATCCAGAGAAGTTAGTTAAGTGACTTCACCAAGGCCCCAGGGGAAATATGGCTGGGATCTGAACCTCCAGGTCTCCTTTTACTGCAAAGTGCTTTTTTATAGAACCTCAGTCATATTCTTGCTTTTGAGAATCTAGAAACCTAATGTCACTGAATGAGATGAAAAAATAAGAATGCTTGCTATTGTACATCACAATTCATTTCTTAAAAACAAGGGTATATAGGCCATTGCATTAACAAAGATTGTCAAAACAATGTCATCAAACTACAGGCACAAAATAAAGATATGAAAGAAGGTGCCATATCTCTTGTCTATCCAATCAACCCTGTTGTGTTTATTTTGATACTCTGCAAGTAAGTCTTTGATTGGATTAGTTACAATACCACCAGGGGGCACATCACATCTTGCAGAGAGTCCTCTTGTAGAGTCCAGAAACACATGTCAATGCGATAACAGTGTTGGAGATATTTGAGTTGAAGTTTAGTTCAAATTGAATTTTTAATTCATGCAACTTTGCTAATAGTGTTCTCTGCAGTCTCATTCACAATTTTCTCCATGTTTTTCATGGTCAGTGCTTGGATTGTTCATTCACAGACAAACATCACTGCGACTGATTTAATAGAAAGATCAGAAGCTGTGATTTGCCCTCCTCTAATTAATTCTTAAACTTTTAACAGAATGAAACAGAACTGAATTAACTCGTCTGAGCAAAGTGGAATGCAAGTCCAAGACTCCTGCCCACTAGAGTTACAATGGGAATTTCCAGTTTGATGCTCTTTAAAAACTGCACTAAGTAAATGTGTTTATTAGTTCTATGTTGAGTTTCATATACAGCCATCAATTATGCCACCCTGAAAATGCACTTTTTTTAAAAGACTGTATTATAGAAATACGAAACAACTACTATGTTCAACATTCACCAAGCCTAATTATTAGGGAACCACATTCCATTTGGCATTTTCAAATTCAGTGCTAAGTGAAAATCAAGGGGATAATGAAGAAGCAAAACCCTCCTTTATGGACATACTTATTCCATGGAGGCAGAGTTATGTGGATCACTTTTCAAATATATGAAAACTGTATATTTTAAGATGGTGTTGACATTTTCTTTTATTTCCAGAGCCTGAAGGAAAAAAGAGGCTTCTCAATTTAGGGGTGCAGCAAGAAGGGCTAAACTAAATTTTAGGAAGAATTTTCTGACCTTGAAGATTATAAGACATTGAAATGTGTCGTCAGGGGATCATAGGATCATAGATTTAGAGCTGGAAAGGGCTTTAGAATTCCTATGGTCTAACTTGGACATTGCAGGCTCTGCTTCTTTAGTCTGAAGAATTCAAAAACAAGTATTTGTTGCTTACTATATACAGATGCCTGTGCTAGGTCTGGGGGAAGGAACAGAGTTAAGAAGAGGCAGGCAGTATGAAGTAGTGGCTTAGATAAAAGACTGGGTTCAAATGCCATTTCAAATATAGTGTGGCCCTTGAAGGTGGTTCTTGGGGAAGATAAAGAGGTATTGTCTGAGATAAAAGAAAAGAGGCAGGCTCTATTAGCAGCTGTTACTTTTGACTAAATGATTCATTTTATCAAGGTCTATCCTTGGTCCAAGATCTCCTGAGATCCTAGATCTCTGAGCTAGTAAGCCCTTTTAATCCCTTACATTTAGGACAATGCCTTTACAAAATTATTGTTGTCTTTTCTTTTTATACCATAGTAACTTCCCTTAATTACTGCCTTTTCTTGTCATAAAGAAAAACACTTAAAGTCAAATGACACAGTGACTATAGCTGACCATGGTTTTTACCTTGTTCAGTACCCACAGTCCTCTGCCCTATCTGCCAAAAAGAAGTATGTTTCATGTTAAGTTCTATCTAAAAACAAGATTGTTTACTGCAATTTATAAAGTACTTTATGGAACTATATGGTCTTTCAGTTCAAAAGTGTAGTGGAGATATGGATAAAGAACCACAAGAACTGAGTAAAGTTCCAGCTGCCCTTTATGACCTTGGATAAGTCTCTTCACTTCATAAGCTCCCACTTTTTAACATGTAAAATGGGTATAATAATGCTAACTTCATGGGGGAACCATGAGGAAAGTGCTTTGTGAACTGAAACCTGTTGCATAAAAAGAGTAATTATTATTATTATTATTATTATTATTTATTATTATTATTATTATTATTATTATCATAGTCCTTATTCATCATTGATTCAGTTAGAACTGATGCTAGGTTGATTTCTGTGTAAGCCAATTAGCTATTAGCCTTAACAGCAAACCAGTTGTGGGTCAAATATGTGCCATTGGTTGTGAGTGTTGATCAATCAGTCTAAATCCAAAACCACTAGTAGAAAATGCATGCCCTGCTAATCATAGCTCATGTGATTAATCTGTACACAAAAGCCAACATGTTCTTACCTCACCTCCTACTCAAGGCCAGTCCAGTTCTAACCCAGCTCTGGAGATGCAAGGCCTAATCCTAGCAGGTGGTGGTGATGGGATGTCCTCTGGTAGGTCCAATAATACAGTCCACGTGTGGCTGACCCAAGCCTGAGGCACAGAATCAAAAATTCATAGAACTTTAGAGTTTGAAGGGACCTCAGTGGTCATCTAGTACCTTCAATGCATAAAAATTAATTCTCTCTATGACAGCTAATGATCATCAGCGGTAGGATCTGTTTGAAAACCCTCAGTGAGAGGAACCCTCCTGCCTCTCAAGACAGCCCTTTCCATTTATGCAAAGCTCCGATAGGAAGTTTCTCCTCACATCAAGCCTAATGTGATCTCTTTTCTTGCTCTACTACCTGGGACCAAACAATCAAATCCCTTTTCCAACATGACTGCCCTTCAAAAGCTTGAGGATAGCAATCCTATCACCATGAAGGTCTAAACATCTTCCTTGGTTCCTTCAGATAAACCTCAAATGGGACTGGCTCATCCTGGTTGGCACCATTCTGGCTGCTCTCTTCTGGAGGCTTGTTAGCTTACTGATGTCACTCAGGATGCTCAAGATATGATCACATCAGGGCAGACTACATGGTGACTCTCGCCTCCTTATTCCTGGAAGCTGTCCTCATGTCTACATGTTGTCACATTGTTGAATCAGCTAGTAAGCTGTCAGTCCACTAAAGTCCCATATCTTTTTCAGACAACTTACTCTAACAATGCCTCTCATCATATATTTGAGGCTGATTTGGGGAGCCCAAATGTTGGATTTTGTACTTATCCTAAAGCAGATTTTCTCTGGGTTGATTTCTTACAAAGGTCTAGCCTGTGGATCTTTTGGAATCCTGACATCAGATTGTAGGTTGTCTGAAAATTTCAAAACTATGTTATCTTTGTCTTTATCTGTGTCAATGAGAGAAGATTGAGGGCTGGGCCTGTGATTTTGGTGGCCCAGTGAACTCCTGGATGAAGAAACTCTCTCTCCCTCTGCAGGTGTGTACCTTCTCTGCAACCCTGATTCATAGATTTGCCCAAAGAACTAGGAGGCTTAGTGACTTGCCAAATATCACACAGCCAGTGTATGTCAGAGGCAAGAATTGAACCCAAGTTTCCTCAGCTTTAAGGCCAGCTACCTTTCTACTCCACCAATACTAATCCTCTCACTGTGAACCAATAATCAGAATACTGAATAGTAAAGAGGTAAGCACAGATCCCTGAGACTCTTCACTGCAGCTTTCCTGACAACTTCTTGGGATCCCTAGCTTTAAAGCCAGAAGGGACCTTGAGTCATCCAGTCCAATTTCCTCATTTTTACAGATGAGGAAAATGAATTCCTGAGAGGCAAAGTGAATTGCCTTGAAAGCATGACAGCCAGGATTCCAACCAGGTCCTCTAATGTCAAGTCAATCTAAGGCTAAAAGGGACCTTAAATGGCCTCTAGTTCAATACCCTAATTTTACAAATCAGAAAACTTAGACTTAAGGTAGGTTAAATGACTTGCCAAGATTACAAAAGTCATGACAGAGGTGGTATTTGAACTCAGGTCATCTGACTCCAGAACCAGTGCTTCTTTGACTTGACAGTGAACCATGAAAGACTATTGAGTTTAGTCATCCAACTAGTTTCAAATCCATCTATTTTTACTATCATCCATTCCATGTCTCTCCACCTTTTCCAGAGGAGGTACAGAGAGGTTCAATCATTAGGTATTTAGGTGAATATATTATAGAAGAAATGATTATTAATAACCAATGATTGGAGAGATCCAGAGTTCCCCTTTTCTATCACCTTCATTTCAAAGTTCATCTTCTTGAAGGACATTAAATTAACTCTCCTCAATCTAGGTTAGACCCCACCTAACAGTACAAGGAATCTCCAATTTAAAGTGAATGCCACTCAACCAAGCTTGGGTGGAGATAGATCCTCTTGTCTAGATTGCCCAAGGCTCAGGGTGATCTGGATCTCAGCCCTTCACTGTAATATTCATTTTCTCATTAATTGTTAGCCAGAGTTGATTGTTACCCTCAGGAACACCCTGAGCCTACCATGATTGTCTTTGGCATTCAAAAGTGCCACAGACCTTTTATTAAAATGCTAGTATTAATGAAATAAAATAAAATAAAATAAAATGCTAGTACTATTAATAAAATGGCTAATTACCCCCGAATTGTCCTGAACTTTTTAAATGCCACAGGAGATATGATTTTCTTATCTAGTCATTAAATCAGTCTCTAGACTGATTAACAAATTTATTTTTTTCTGGGAAGATCCAATTTTATTTAAATAATCAGATCATATCATTCCACATGTCTTCTAAAGCAATGTTCTCCTCAGAACAATGACTATTTGAAATCTGAAGGACAAATCACTACCATTTGACTAGTCTACTCAGCCCTGGATAATCACCCTATATTTGGTTCTGGGGTTTTCCCAGGGGCTCTGCTATACTGTAGGTTTGATCCTGACCTATCCAGGAATCTAGGCTAATCTTCAAGTGAACTCATACTTCTTTAGCCCACATATGGGTTCATGTAATGCAATGCATTGTATAGCACAAGATTTGGATTCAAAAGAGTTCAGCTCAAATTCCAGTCAATTACTACTTGTGTGATTTTGGATAAGTCATGTCTTCTCTCTAGGAATGTTTTCCTCAGCTGTAAAATGAGGATATCAGACTAAATTTTCTCTAAGATCCCCTCCCAGTCATAAAATTCTCTTTTCTTTCATTCTTTGCTCTTCATGCAACCTCCTCTTTACTTTTGTGTGAAAATGTAGAATCACAGAAGTCTGAACTCTGCTCCACAGGATGGAGAATCAGACCCATCATTCAAGTGCAGCAACCGATTGTTCTTTCACTACCTCCTCATTATGCTCCAAATTTACCACTGGATTCTCCTTCATTCAAGATTACTGTGTACAAAGCAAGTTCCCTAAATGTTAAAAAACACCCATTGCGATAGTCCAAGCAATTAGCCACAATTAGCCACAGATTTCAGAAGTGGAATAGGTTCCAGCTGTAATTCTTGGCTCTGTCCACTGGGAAGGCAGAATTAATTTCTCAATGTAGTAAATCATCAGGAAGCCCTGCCCCTTTCTGCACCACTTACAGGAGTTTAGAGTAGCTTTTAAAGTGTTTAACTTTGAATGTTGGCTGATTGCTCCTACCCCTCCAAACCCCAAATTTAGTATCTTTACTGTGACAAATACTTTTACAAATTTAGACTTTCATTAGTTCCCAAGTACCTAGGGGAAATAATGTTCATTAAGATCTTTTTTTTTTAAATAATGTTACTATCCTGATCCTGTAAAGTATAAGGTAATTACAATTCTGTCTCTAGGAAAAGAATAATTAAAACAATAGTCTTTTTTATTTTTAATAAGCATAGGAAATTATTAGTATTCATTCAGGACTTGAAATCCAAATGTCTCAAGAATTAGCTCTCATGGAATTCACAGAATGCTGATGGTGAAAATGGAATCAAACCCAAAGTCAGAAAGGTATGAGGAGGTAATGGCAAGCCTGATAGCCTATCCTGGCTTTGTCACTTACTCTGTGATAAGGGGCAAGGCACTTGAGTGCTTGGGGACTGAGTTTCTCCATCTGTAAAAGGAAGAGCATAGACTAGAAGATTCCCTAAAGCCCCTTTTAGCTCTAAATGAATCATCACAATAATGAAACCAAATCAACTTTATCTGACTGCCAATACATTTTTTAGTAAGGATTTTAGAAAGGTTAAAGTTTGAGCGGTGTCAGAGGTGGAATTACATAATTAGACCGGAAACATTTTTGAACAGCTATTTTGCAAAATGCCAAAAGGAACCAATAAGAAATGAATAAAAAAAAATGATGAAATAAGACAAGTTTGTAGCAGATCAGTGACCAGAGTTTTGTGGTATTATTATTGTTGTTTTTCCCTAGCAACACTCAGGAAGCCAGAACTGAAAGCGAATAGTTGGAACAGTGGATAGCTGCTCCACTTGGGAGTCAGGAAGCCTTGAGTTTGAGTTCTATCTCGGACACTTAATTAATCTTAGTTTCCCTGTCTATAGAACGTGAGTAATTGCACCTGCTATTATTAGAGTTCTTGTGAGAGTCAATTATACACATACACATGTGTTGTGTGTAGAATTTGTATGTATATATAATTTATATAGAACATATACAAATGATTTACATGTAAAGCACTTTACAAACTTTAATGTACTACTTAGATGTTAGTTGTTATTGGCAGGATGGCATAATACATAGAGCGCTGGATTTGGAATCAGGAAAACCTGGGATCCCTGCGCAAGTCATAGTTCTAAAGCTATGATCCTCTGAAAACAGGGTGGAGGTTGTTCATGGGAAGAGGCTGGCAAGAGAGAAAAATGCAGAAGGCTAAAAAAGAAAGGATTCTAGGGTAGTGGCAAGTGTTATCCTAAAAAAACCTTTACAACTTTACAAATATTCTCTCATTTAATCCTCACTAACTCCATGAGGTAAATACCATTATTACTTCCATTTTACAGATAAGGAAACTGAGGCAGAGGTTAAGTGATCTGTCCAATGTCACACATCTAGTGTCTAAGACCAGATATGAACTCATAGCTTCTGTCTCCTAGTCCAGTACTCTATTCACTGTGTCCTCTAGTTCATGGAACCAAGTTACAAGGATGAAGAACATGTTTTTCATGGGCATTAAAATCACTCACAATGATGGCATGGAGCAAGGTAGAGATGAAAACCTTTTTGATTTCTGTTCAATGATCAACTTGCCAAAAGTTGTGGAGAAAGGACACAACCTTGCTTCTAAGCTGTGATGAGGCTCAGCAGAATGTGGTACAATCAGAGAGCTAAGAACTTTCAAAGAGAAAAAGATGATAAGTAATAGCAGGAGACAGAATGCATTCAACTAGTCCAGTTAACCCCTGTTTAATGAAATATTATCTTAATACCTCTTGACACTATATGCCTAAAAAATTGTGAATAAAATGGAAAACAACTCAACAGCTTTCTGTATTCAGAAGATTAGTGCATGATAAAATATAAATTTCTTCAAAGATTAAGGTATATTACTAAAACTCAATAAACCCTAACAAAGTATTAGCTATAATACAGCAAAGGACAATTTCTTTCCTTTACAATTTTTTTTAAAGATACAATCATGGTGGTTTTTATCAACTTTGTGACAAAATACAGTTCTTAGTTCAGCTATTTCCTCAGGATTAAAAGAGAAGAATCACAAGGTATTTAGAAATACAGCTGTTTGTAGAAGAGTCATGCAAAAAGTTAGAAAGAAATCCTTTCCCTAGATGGGACCCTTTCTATTTCTTATCTAAAGAGAAATGAATCATTTAACAAGGATTAAGTGTTCGCCAAGTACTGAACACTTTGCTGAGCACTGGGAATACCAAGGCAAAAAAACCAAAACTATCACTGCCCTCAAGGAATTTATATTCCACTGGGGGGGGGGGGAGCAGGGAATAATACATGTATATAGATAAGTAAATGTGATGTAAACAAAATGCATACAAACCAATATTGGGGATTGGTACTAACAATAGGGGGAAATCAGTAAAGATCTCCTGTTTGAAGTGGCTTGAACTAAAACTAAAAAAAAATAGCAAGTGAGGAAGGAAAGTGGTTATGTCATGGCTAGCCTGTAAAAGTATGATGGTGGAAGCAAGTAGGCCAGTTTGGGTAGAAGGGGAGGGTGTGAGGGGGAAGTAACAAGTATTTAGCCTGGGAAAAGAACTTGGAGCTGATGGAGATGGCATCTGAACCTCTAAAAGGAAAAGAACATGTCTTTGGGATCTGGACCCCAAAAAGGAAAATCCCTGGACTTTCCCAAATCCCTGGCATTTGCCTGAGGCTGTAATCCACTCAACTGGCCTTTCATTGTGGCTATACTCAATCTCCCAGTTCAGTTCTGTTACCTCCCTATTGCCCCTGGCCACTTCCCACCCTTAATCCCATTTAGACTCCATTCTCCCTTGACCATGTGGTCCAGGTCCCTGGCAGTCTATCCTCCCCAGTTTACTGGCCACTCCCAACCAGATCTTCCTTAGACCCCTCCTCCAGTCACTCCAAATTACTTGGCCACTCCTAGATCTCTCCCAGTCATTCTGTATATAAGGTCCATCTGGCTTCCATCAAGGTGCTCAGATTCTTAAGATCTAGCTAATACTGAAATTCTTAAAATCTAACCAATGCTTGGATTCTTAAAATCTGGCCCGTTTGCAATAGCCATACAAATATTTAGATTCCTTAATAGTCTGGCTAATTGGAAGATTCTTTAAATCTCACCCGCCCCCAATCGATGTTCTAATAAACCTTGTCTTTGGCTGAAAGAAGGCTTGGGTTGAATTTATTCGGACAGGAACCACGTATTGTGATTTTGGTGTCCTAGCACCCCTAAACCTCTAAATCTTAACAGAGCCAGATTTTAAAAAACTTTACATGCCCAAAAGAGGAAGTTTACATTTCATTCAAGAGACTACAGACAGCCACCGAGCTTCTTGAATGGAGATATAACATGGTCCAACCTGTGCTTTAGAAATATCAATTTTATGTATAACCTGTATCAAATTGCTTGCCTTCTCAATGAGGGTGAGTGGGGAGGGAGGGAGAGAATTTGGAACCTAAAGTTTTCAAAAACAAATGTTAAAAATTGTTTTTAAATGCAACTGGGAAATAAGATATACAGGCTATGGGGTACAGAAATCTATTCTGCCCTACAGGAAAATGAAGGGGAAGGGGATAAGAGAAGGGGCAGGGTGTGATAGAAGGGAGGGTATTCAGAGGCATGCAATCTTGGAGTGGGGGGAGTGGAAAGATGGGGAGAAAATTTGGAACTCAAAATCTTGTGGAAGTGAATATTGAAAACTAAAAATAAAGAATATTAATTAAGAATGTGGAAAAAATAAAAGAGTTAGACACAACTGAACAACAACACAGCAATAAAAACTATGATTCTTAAAAAAAGAAATATCAATTTTAATGCTCTGTGGTAAATGGAGTGGGAAGGGGATTGCTAGATGCAGGAAAATCAATTAGGAAACTCTTGCATAAGTCTAGGCAAGAGGCGATGAGGGCTTGAACTGCGGTGACTGTGAAGTGAATTGTAAAAAGGATTTGAAACCAAGAGCTGTGAAGGTAGAATCTGTAAAACTTAGCAATTGATTGGATATAGGGAGGAACAGGAATGGGAGAAGGAAGAGGAACTCCAAGTGCAGAAAATAGGTGACTAGAAAAATGGAGGTATCCTCATCACAAATAAGAAAGTTAGGAGGGGATTTCTGCTTCCAGGAGCCAAGATGGTGGAGTAAAAAGGTAGTTGCTCTCACTCTTCCCTATCAACCTTTGAAAACCCAGAAAATATCACCCCAGAAAAAAACCCTGGAACAGCTGAACTAGAAAAAAGATGGTGAGCAGCAGGGCAGCAGCCCAGCAAACAGGTCTCCCAGTGCCTCAGCAAAAATAAGGGAGGCAGAACTACAAGGAGCCCCAGGTGGATAAGTACCCTGAAGCATTCATCTGAAAGGAGCTGAAGAAAGTAACCTAAAGTCTTCCTAAAGCTCCGGCCTTGCTGGTTCCAGCCCAACACCAGGTGAGCTGTCCGAGCTCTGCAGCCTCCAATTGTGAAGAAATCCTGAAGCCCAGGTGGTAGAGCAGGCAAACACCAACACCTGGACCTCTGAGTGCCTCGGTAAGGGTTGGGGGAACCGCTGGAGGCCAGCTCGGAAAACCACCAGGTGCCTCAGCACTCTACCACAAAGGAATCTCCCAATGCATTAGCAGAAAGGAGGGAGGCAGCACTGTAAGGGGCCTCAGGCAGATAAACACCCTGCACCACCCATCTAAAAGGAGCTGAAGAAAGCTAAGGGAAAGGAAAAGCAGGCAACCTAGAATTGCCTGAAAGTTCCAGCCTTGCTGACTCCAGCCCAACACAAGGTAAGCTGCCAGAACTCTACAGCCTCTAATTACCAACATAAGAGGCCCCAGCACACAAAGCCAGTGACCAAGACCTAGGCTTACAACACAAGAAGGTTGGGTCAGTGCTCTCTGTTCCCCAGCAAGAGAGCTCAATCTCTTTAAAGGCCAGGGAATAAAGAAACACCATGAGTAAAACGAAACGTACCATAGATTCATATTATGAGAAGACTGAAGATCAAAGCAGACATTCTGAAGAGGACAACATTGTCAACAAACCCACATCTGCAACGTCAAAAGGAAATATGAACTGGTCTGAAGCCCAAAAAGCCTTCTTAGAAGAGTTCAAGAAGGATTTTAAAAGTCAAATAACAGAGGTAGAAGAGTCCTTAAAAAACACGATTAGCCAACTGGAAAAAAACTATACTGAAGAAAATAAGTCCCTAAAAAACACAATTGGCCAATTGAAGAAGGAAGTACAAAAACTAACAGAAGAAAACAATCTGTTAAAAACTAGAATTGGACAAATGGAAACTAATGACTCTATGAGAGAGCAAGAATCAGTCAAACAGAAACAAAAAAATGAAAAAATAGATGAAAATATAAAATACCTCATCAGTAAAACAACCAACTTGGAAAATCGACTCAGGAGAGAGAATTTAAAAATTATTGGACTACCTGAAAATCATGATAAAAAAAGAGCCTGGACAGTATCTCAGGAAATCATTAAGGAAAACTGCCCTGAAGTCCTAGAACCAGAAGGTAAAATAACCATATAAAGAACACACTGCTTACCACCTGAAAGAGATCCCAAATTGAAGACACCAAGGAAAATAATAGCAAAATTTCAAAATTACCAAATGAAAGAGAAGGTGCTGAAAGCAGCCAGAAAGAAACAAATAAGCATGATTTTTCAAGGGAGGAGATGGATATTCAATGAAACAGGAGACTTCCAAACCTTCCTGAGAAGGTTAGGAGGTAGAGACGCTTTGGGAAAAAGAAAATGAGTTGTTTTAGACTTGTTGAGTTGGAGCAGTCTATGAGATATCCAAGTAGAGATGTCCAGAAGGCAACTGGAGATGTGCAGCTATGTAGAGAGGGCAGGACATCAAAACATCCTGGTAGTGTGAAATAGTTTGGTGAAGTAGAAAGTGTGCCAATTAGGAAGTCTAATTCTATTGCTGAGTCTTCTGCAAACTCAATTAATCTGTCATTTGGGGAAAATAAGTTCCTCTCTCTGAGCCTCAGTTTGTCTGTTCATTTGTAGGATGAAGGGTTTAAAGTGGATCATCTCTAAGGAGAAAAAAGCTCAAAAACTATTGAACACAGGATATTAAGAAAAAGTGGTTCTGCATTTTTGTTAAGCATAAATTTTAGATTCCTCTCTCTCTCTCTCTCTCTCTCTTTTTAAACTTATATAATTTTACCTACTCCAGCACAAAACACTGATTTCCTCACCTACATCTCAGGTGTTGGTTGATAAAGGGTTCTTAGTTTAAAAAAATGTCTCTAGATTTCTTTATTTAGAAGCTTTGAGTCTGACTGTACTCAGTACAATGACTATGATTCACTTCATAACTTTCCAACTATGATCACATGGTCTTAGAATTGGTAAATTACATGTTGATTTATATAAAAAAAACTTCCTTGGTAACCAATTTTTGCATTTTATAGAATCAATTATAGAATCTAGTAAGCCTCTTAAAGGGAAGGTCTTTCGAACTATCATATATGCATCCCCAGCACTTGGTACTTAGAAGGCACTTAATAAATGCTTGTTAATTAATTAGTTTAAAAGCTCGTTAATTAGTTTAATTTATCATTGAAATGGCTGAAAACTGAGCCAAACGATTTTTGGTCTATTTCAAAGTATCTATACATTTCAAATTAATAATGATTTTGCAAATTGGGTGGATTACATAACAAGA